TTTGTCATAGTTTAGCACTGGTTCATATTTTGCTTTTAGTTTGTTGAAGTTTGTTATGAATTTCTAGAGCTAACTCTGGTTTCATTTGGAATTAGGAGATGGCATTGTATTTGAGGATTGATTTTGGGATGATGAGGAACGCGAATGTTCTGAGTTATGGTACTTATTGTTTATGGAGTGAGGAATTGAGTTCAGGGGTGGGAGGAGCCTTGAAGGGCTCAGTCTCATTAGAATCAATGGACATAAGCTTTGAAGCTGAAGGGGAAGGAGAAGAGCGTGAAGGATTGTATCTTTCATGCTGATCGTGCTTGCACTTTTTGGATTCCTTGGAGTTTGGTGTATCCTCCACTTTGTGTGAGCACTTTTCTTTTTGTGTATTTTCTTAGGGCTCGTACGACAGTTTCCTTTTTTTGGCCTTAATTGGACTTTCTGTATTTATAAGGGATGTTGATGGTATTTCAGAGTTTGTTGAGGATGGCACTTGTATCTCTTTGTTTGACAGGTATCACTCTAAAATTTGTTCGTTTGTGGAGGTTGATTTTGCCATTTCCTTCCTTGTGTAGGGCCTTGTGGAATTTCTTTGTTGATGGAGGGCGACACTGGTATTTGGTTATTAGCTTGGGGTTTCTCTTGTCATTTTTCAGCTGATTCAAAAATTTTGAATTTGGGAGGATGGTGCATCCATTTCTTCCTTTGTTGCGGCTCCCTTGAGTTGAAAATTGAATCATTTGGTGGCGCAATAATAAAGCTTTGTATTGGGAACCCCGATTATTCCTTAGTGACCATTGCGACTGTCTATGTGGACCAATGTTTTTCTTCACCCAAAAATCTCCCCTTTTCACCGGAAAAATCTCCCCTTGTCGGAAAACTTATCCTTAGGAAAAGGTGGGTTCTTTTGCATTCTTCCACCAATTTTTTTATCTTATTTTATTGAATTTCTTGGTTTACTTTTCAAGTTCCTCTTCTTTCTCTAATGCTTCGGATCTCTTCGTTATATAGTGCCATTCTATTTCAATCTTTTATGCTTGTTATTCATTTCAATGTGCGATTTCTCTCCGTCTTCCTTGTGCTTTTGATTCCTTGTCTTGCTCTTGTTTTTCTTGCACTGCGCTTCAATGTGCCCTGGAATAAGGCAACTGTTGCAAATTATTGGCTCATTCAATCTCTTGTAGGGATGTTCCAGTATTTCCAGCATTAATTTCAATAGATCTTGGCAACATTGCACAAAGTTCTAATTCAGTGAGAACTCTAGTGAATTTCCTGTAACTAAGACTTCTTATGGCATGGCCCACGGCAATTGGATGTCCGATATTAGCTACATTAGGGCCAAGAATGCGAGGACGTCAACAAAAGCAGGGAGATTAGGCATTCTAGTCAAAACCATTATGAAATTTGATATTTCGGGTAGGGATCCTCCATTATGATGCTGTAGTTTTGAAACCTGACCAATAAAGTTTCGATGCCCCCTATTTGAGTGTTACCTATTTGAGTAGCTTTGAACAATGATTTAAAAAGTTAACCGCCCAGCGCCTAGGTGGTCGCCTAGGCGGTCTGGAAGGCCTGAGTGCATCACCCAAGCCTAGGAGGCCAAACTTGGCAGCCGCCTAGGTGGTACGGAACCCGGCAAGGCGGGCTCCCAAGGCCCAGCCTTGGGTGGCCGCCTAGGGCCTGCGTCCCCCCTAGAGGCGAAAATGGGTTTCAGTGGGGGCATTTGTTTTTCATTTTTTTTGTACTAAAGAGCCAAAAATTGGGCTTTTAGGTTCATTTGAAACCTAAAACTTATTGGAGCTCATTTTAGAGAGAGAAAGCCCCCAAAAAACTAGTTTTTGGTGAATTCTTTAGGATCGAAGGGTTTCTCAAAGTTAACAAAAATTGATCAAAACATCACCCATTGATATTAGATTTAATTTTTGATGTTTACAAATCTATTGGGGGGTTTTTTAGAAGATTTTGAGTCTTTAGAAGCATATTTGAGGTGGAAGTTGAATATTGAGCAATCAAACTCAAAGTAAGTGATTTTTTTTTTATTGCTTTAGTAAATTGCATTATTTTTGAGATGTTTTCTTCGGGATCTAATAGGAGTGGTGCTCCGGGTTTGAAATATGGCTATAACCCATATCCTAATGATAAAAGTTGCATAAGATGCAAGTTTTGTGATAAGGATACAAAAAGGGGCATAAACCGGTTCAAGAAACATCTTGCCGGTATCAGGGGGATGTTGCCCCATGTAAAAAGACTTCTGATGTTGTTAAAGAGGAAATAAGCAATTTTTTGAGTATGGTAAAAATGAAAAAAGATGACAGATTTGTCTCTATAGTAGAGGTTAGGTATGGGGTTAGGGTCAATTATGATGATGATGATAGTGATGAGGATAGGAGTACTTTTGAAGGGGTAAGACCGTAAGGGTATTGTATAATTTTATAAATAATACATGAGCCATAGATATTAGATTTTAATTAGTTTCATTTGATTTTGTTAGACTCATACAAAGAAAAAGAACATGTTTGAATCAAAGAGGCTCAATGACCTAGTCTATGTCAAGTACAATCGATTCTTGAAGGACAGGTTTGCTAAGAGAGATCCCATCAGATCAAAAACTATGGACAATGCTATGGAGTGGTTAGTTGATGATGAGGTTGAGGGGCATGAAGGATTGACATGGGATATGGTCATGGATGCTTCAGGGACATCAGTTGACCCTCTTAGGGCCACTAGATCTTTTGCACAGAGAACAAGGGTGGAGGAAGAGGAGGAAGAAGAGGCAGATTCAGAAGAGACGGAGGAGGAGGAGGATGAGGACGACCAATATGTCGAGGAGGATGACGACTCCGATGAATATGATGCCAATGCAGCTGACTCTAAATTTTCTGATGATGAATGTTGAATAATTATTAAATTTTGAACTTTGATTGAAGTAGTATTGAATTATTGAAGATTCTTTTGAGTCTTCAAGTATTACTTTCATAGTTTCATAATTCAATTTTTTTTCTTTCTTCATGGTGGTGTACTGCAGTACTAGTTTGATACTATTTGGTAACTTGGTTTGGTAATTTGGTTGGTTGCTAAATTTTAAGTTTTAATTGGATATGGAGTATGAACCAACTTATGGATTATGGTTATACGTATGGAGTGTGTGCTAAATGCTACCATGTAATATAATTTGAATTATGATGTGCCCTAAATACCTAATTTTTAGTTTTTATATAATATATATAACTGACATAACTGCAGAATCCTTTTTGGATTCAACCGGGCCGCCCAGGTTCTGGACGCCGGCCTAGGCGCTGGGCGGCCTAGACCCCTCAGGCCGCCTAGGACCCGCCTAGCGCTTTTTGAAACACTGACTTTGAATCCCTCTCTCAGTTTCCAGATAGTGTTTAATCCTTTGAGACGAAATTTAAGGTGGTCTTGGATGGAGAAAAAACCAACTAGACAATTATTGAATAGCCTTATTGATGATGTCTTGGGGAATGTTTATTGTTAGCCAGCCATTGTTCTTGTGCATTGGTTCAATAAATTCTCATGCAATCTGCAGAACTTCATAAGTTAGGGCTTTTGCATATGGGATTGGTTTGCTTGCCATTTCTGAGTATAAGGTGTTCCACACCAAACTACTAGCAGCTTACCTTCGAACCAATATCCAGGGCACCTTGAACAAGCAAACCCCCTGAACCACCAAACAGAGAACATGAACTAGCGAACACAGCAACCACATCAACCAGCCACCATGTGAACACAAACCAGTAGGCACATCTCACAAACCAGTAGCCACTCCAAACCACTAGGTGCAGCACAGGATGAGAATTCACAGTTCCAAAGCAGTGGGCACCACGAACAAGCCAGCAAGGAGTAGGCACCACGAACAAGCCAGCAAGCAGTAGCACCACAAACCATTAGTTACCAAACAGGTCGTACAATGCGGGCATGTGCTTTACAAAGTGGATGCACATGCCTGGTCTGTTTAATCTGTGGAATTGCGTGTCCACATTGCAGATCCATCATGCATCCGATGCCAGAAAAATGAAAATTTCAAGGCACATTCTGACATGGTTTTTCTTTGTCTGTATGTATGTCGGTGTGGAGTGCATTAATGTGTCCAATTCTCCTACATATACATGATTCGTTGTTAAACGTGTGGGTGGGCATGTGCACGAGTGTGTTGCACATTGAGGTACGTGTGTATTTCACAACTTTTAGGATTAAATTATGCTGCCGGGGAGGGGAATTAAGCAATGGGATTTAGGGAGTTTGGCAAACCCCCGTAGAGGCCTTATATGGATTTAAAATTTTAGAACCATTATTTGCTTCCATATTCCAACATTAGAAAAATAAATCTGAAACTAGCTTTAGCTGATTTTGAGTTAAAGACTCTTGCTTAATTGGTTACACCAAAGTTCAAAACCCCAGACACCATTGGGACTCCTCGAGCTTCTAAATTGTTGGTTACACTATAGTCTCATATGAGACTTGACTTATATAGTGAGTAGAGTCGTTTTTGTCTGTTTTAGGAGCCTATAGAATATGATTATCGTCTCAACCAAAACATACCGACTTCATGTCTTTGACTGTTTTGTAAATTCCATAGTGTTACACATTATAATTCATTCTGAAGCCTGAATAATTTGACTAGGGTGAGGCTGAGAAAATGTTGAGTAATATATATATATATATATATATATATATTGCAATAAAAATACTAACTGATCTTCAAAACAACGGAAGTTTTAGCTAAAGATCTCTGCTTGCATCCTCAGTTTTTTAATGACAGAACTATTTCATAAATGAAATCCTTTTTGATGATTTTTTTGATGTGGTTCTTCTCACATTCTGAATAGTCCAATTCCAAGTAATTTATATGTATTGCATATGTTAGATGTAAAGCTTTAAACCAGTTCCTCTATCCACATTTGTTATTCCCGTTGCAGTTATATGAGCATCAATTAGCTAGATTAGAAGTGTACTAAAGTCATGTTCCCTAACAATAGGATGTGTTTTAATAGGTGAGGGACTTTATACTTTTACCATATTGACAACTCGTTGCTCATCTGCATTGGACTGGCTTCATGGTCAGTTCTCCCTGTTTTTATTGATTTAATTTGTTTATGATTTACTGTAATGTTTTGATTAAGAGAAAAAGAATTCCTGATTTTCTTTGAGGATCACCATGGGAGCTATAACCAATGCCTTTATTAGTCATTTGTTAGGATGGAATCTGAATGCAGCGCAATTGGTTATTTGAGTAATTTGAGAGATGTTCTTGTGCAAAACAATTTAGTTATTGATTTTAGCAGTGATCATAATGCTGTCATTTCATGGCTTTGTTTGTATTATTTGGTTGAGATATTGACTTTGTCTCTATTAAGGAGAGTGAGACTCACCATTTAACTTCTCATTTTCTTAAAAATTTAAGCTAAGAATGGTAAAGCATGTATGTTGGATTTGACTTTGATTTGTTTGATAATGGGTGACCATCATTAGCAATGAGTTGCATAGGGCCGTAACTTAGAGATAGATGGGAAAGGAAAACAATGTAATAATCTTGAGAAGCCTTTCTAGAAACAGATCATAGTTGTGGGAACCTTGGGGTTAAGGCCACGGTCCCACCTTAGGAACTCGTTCCCATGGTTCCTCAAAGGGATCTTAGAGGGAGCTGGGTTTAGAGAAATAGGGATCTTGCTCCCATAAAATGGATCTCGGTCTACATGCTTGTAGGATCTCCTCAAGGAAAGGAGCTATGCTATTACTTGAACTATTGGTACTCCCCTTGGTGTTATATATTTATTTCTTTAGAATATGTTAAACTGTGATGTATACAAGAACTATGGTATTAATAAACTACAATTTATTATCATAGCAAGCCAATTTATGATATTATTAAACTATGTTACTGTAGTAAATTGGAGTACTATAGCTATGGCAATGGTAATAGGCTAAGGTGTATGATAATGGATTGAGCGGGCATTGATTGGATCCTAATTTTATCATATACTATTAATTTATCTCATTTTATGTGTAGTGGAGCTTTGATCCCTCTAAGTCAAAATCTTGATCCTAGTGACATGGGATCTCACTGCCAGGCATGCTAGGATCTAGCTCCTTAACTTGTTGAATGTACAAGTGCTGATCCTAATCCAGGGAGCTTCCACCCTATGGCAGTTCGGCGTTCCCGGAACCGATCCCGCTTGCGAACCTTCTCCCACCTCCAATAACTATGAAACAAGGTCCTCGCATACATCTTTAAAAATCTACTTCTACTCACTGGAGAGTGTATGTGCAATCTGGGTCCTACACCATGAGGAAAGTGTGATATTTTCTGATTTTTACGAATGGCAGAATGTTGTGTTAAATCAATTGTGCTCCATGAACTAACTGTAGTTTATCATACAAGGATCTTTGTCAGAGCGTGCCATAATGGGAGAATTTTCAACCACATTAGTCCTGGATATCTAGCAGTACTCAAGTGCCATGATTATTGTCTCTACGAAACATGAAGGAGCTAGAGCATGAGGAGGTACACATGTAACTGGAGCAAGCTATAGATGAATGAAGGGGCCCAAAACTGTATTTGGAAAGGATTAGGGTGGAAATGGATTAGGGAATAACATTTTGGAGGAAGGTTAATAGAGAATTCCCAAAATAAAACAAAGAACATAAAAAGATTCTTGAAAAATAATGGTAGTAGTGTAGAAGCCAAGCTTTATAGCTCTCTGGTTAAAACAAGACCCTCAAAAAAAATATTATTCAGGTCGGGATCAACCCTTTAGTAACCCCTATTTATAGGCTAACCTAACTTAAAAATCTAATTCGAATAAAGCTTGAACTCATTATTAAGTAATTCGCAATAAGTTGGACTCCAATCAAGTTGCATACAAAGTGACACTTTCACAGTGAGAGAAAAATGAAAATTTTCCCCTTAACTACTTTTCCAACCGTACCATTATTAGAAAGTTTAAGAACCCTAAATAAATCCTGAAAAATCTAAAAATACATCTATGAAACACAATAGAAAATATTTGAAAAATATGAAGCATTCTGTCTTGCGTCAAGGTCCCCTTGGACTGGTGATTCCTAGTCTAGATGGCTGGGATTTTGAAACACTGCTCTTAAAGCAGCACCTGGGAATTGAATTTTTTTTAAATGGGTCATATTTGTGGTGAGTAACTGATCATAAGAAAAATCTACCAGAAATGTTGACCTCAATCCTGCCAGTTGATTGATGAAGAGGGTGTTTCATGCTCCTGGAGGATATCCATTTATTTTCCATTGGGAATCTTATGATTGCGATACTGCAAGTTGGTCTCCAGGCAATAAGCTTGCAAGGAGAAACATAAAAGGGTGCTTGTTTCTGACAAGGTTCAGCCTAATGGAATGTATTGTTCTTGTTCTGCCAAGTGTTTTGACTGGATTGGACCATAATGTTGGCACTAGGAGTCAGCATACCTGCTTGAATCTATAAAAGGGCTTTGGACTATATCCTTAAGGGAAGTGTCTCCAAGGCATCTTGTAGTTATTGGAGCTGCATCTTAGAAATTTTTTTTTTTTTAATTGGGTAAATCAGTGAGGATTAGGGTCCCTATCCGTTTTACATTAATAAAATAGAAAAACTACAAATCAAATTCATTTTACAACCCTATTGCGGGGAACACTTTCTATATCATGTGAAAGCAAAAGAAGTAAAAAATTCTGAGGGTCGAGCTCTCTAACCTATAGCCTTAGCTTCTGATAATGTGATCGACCTTTTGACTAAGCAGTTTGCTACCATATTGGCTTCACAAAAAATATGTGAGATCCTCCACTACTGATCACCATAAGTCTTAAATAGAAAGTTCATGGCAAGAGTATGTAACCTCCACAGGGGCTTGAAATGACCTTGCAGTGTCTCGATTAAAACTTGGGGAATCACTCTCAATTTGCAAGGGAAAGCATTTCATTTCAATTGCTTGGTTGATACCCATTTTCAGTGCCTTTAATTCTTCTACATTATTTAAAACTGAGTGGAGATGCAAATGCAGCTATAATCTTCCCTCCCTATCTCGTAGGATACCTTTGTAGTGTGCAACACTGGGGTTGTGGAAACATGACCCATCAATGTTGGGTTTAAAGAAGCCGTATGTGGGGGCTGCCATGGCACCTGTAAGGCATTCTTAGAACTTTCTACTTGCCATTGGATCCTTAGGATAACAACGATACTATATTTAGAAAGGTGGAGGGACCACTTTTAAACGTAGTAAGGGATCCAACTAAATGAATAATGTGCTGGAGAAGTTGCTCATGCTATAACTTTTACCCTCAAAGATATGCGTTTTTCATTCCGACCATATAAACCACACCGTGGTAGAGAAGAGGACATTCCATATATCCCTGTACCCTTGAACATTTGATGCAGAATTTGATCCATTTTGTGAACATTTGAGGAACGGATTATTCCAAGGGAATTCTTTTCCGACATCTCCAAGTAATTGATCGCCAGAGAATTTGCGAGAAAGAACACTCCAAAATAATATAGGTATCATTATCCATTGTTACAAGTGGGAGCAAAAAAAGCTTTAGAGTGGGAGCAGGAGCAAAAATGTGGAGCGAGGAAGTTGTAAAGTTCCATGGTCGCGGGAACAAGTTCCATACATGGGCAAATGTAGGGATCAAGATTCCTGACTTTAGTGGTCGAGTTCCATATTTGCAAAGGAGCATATCCCTTACGAGATGGGATCGTGTTCCACTGTGTTAGGATCCAGGCTCCTGAAGTTCAATTATCCATTGTTCTGTAATCTGGGAGCGAGTTCTATTTGACAATATTTTTTATTTTTTCTAAATTCACAAACCCAATATCAATGTAAACAAGAATCATTTTACTTTTGGACTTTTTGTTATCAATGGAGTAGTGATAATGAAAAACCGATATGGTGATGTACTGTCCAATAAGTCTTTGGGCACGATGGAGTATTGTCCTTAGTCTGTCTCCGTCTCCCTCTTTGACTCTTTTGCCAACTGGTGAAGAGATACATTCATTAGTGAATTTTATGGACTCTTATTCTCATCAAATTCCTTAGAGAACATTGTATGTGCACTGAAACCGGTACAAAAACGTAGGAACACGAGAGAGACCTCATTTCCATGCATACGTGTTATGCCATCACCCATAAGGCAATCTTGTGTGATGCGATTTAGTTAACCAGCAATCAAGCTATGGAAGCCCTTTGGGAGGTGGACAAGACCCAATGAACTACACCTAGGGAAGTTTCGCATATTTTTTGTGACCTCATTCCTTAATAGAACCGCAAGCAACCATCCTTTGTATCTTATCCCAACTTCATCTCTCCTTACCCGTACTTGTTGCTTTTCCTTGAAACTAGACTCATGTCACAATTGACACAAGGTGTGTAAAGTTGTAAACTGTAAAATATATAGGAAATCATGGGATTTAGAAAGTTTGTATGTCATAATAAAATGGAGATCCACACTTTTTTGTATATGAACCAGAAAAATGCCATGGAAACTTGCACCCAAATAGGATACCCGATTCCATTTTGGCATAATCGCGATTCTGCTTACTCATGAAACAATTGTTTTTAGTATAAGGCTGTGGGTCCTATTAACATAGGATCGAGATCTCTAATTTCTCGAATCGATATCCTTAATATCAAGGAATTGCCTAGAATTGAGATCCGGTGTTTCGGAGTGCCTGAATGAGATCTCAGAGCCAAAGCGACCCTCCCCCTCCCTAGAGGATCTTGGTAACTATGGGATTATCTTTTTCCTAACAGCAGAGGGGACATCTGGAGGCTAGCACGCCACCCACGGACCGAAGAACGTTGACAGTTGGGAGCTAGAGGTGTAGTGATAACCAAATGACCTATCTGGTTTTTGGGTGTGAGGGGGAGGACCATAAGGCTTTAAAAGTAGGCTTGATTGGACCACTTTGCCTATGCGATCCCAAGCGCTCTTTATTGAGAACTGACCACTAGGCGAATGTATCCATACCAGGAATTCGTGACCCATCTTTGAGTCTTGCCTGATTATCTTGCAGCTATATATCCAACTTGTTTTGGTAGATATGACCCAAGCATTGGTCCTCTCTGATTATCTGGCGGGTCGCCTCATTAATTCTGATGATCGCAGTGTGGTATCGTGGAATTTGTTGGACTTTGTGGGAGAGAATTTTTTTGATATTTACGGGGATCTTATTATGATTGATTGCTGTTCCAGTTATTGTGTAAAAACTTTTCTTTAACACAGTCGCCTTTAAGAAAACTGAGCGTGCTAAAGCCTATTTAAGCATCCATGTGGATTCTTGGATGTGCTATTCACATTTTTCATGTATTGTTTGCAGATAGAATGCCTGTTATATTGGGGAATAAGGAAGCTATTGATGCATGGCTAAATATTACACCTTCCCCCAAAGTTGATTCCCTTCTTCAACCATATGAAGGTTCTGATCTTGTAAGCAGATATTTCAACCTTATGGCTGGGATAATTTTCCTAGTCTTCTATTTTGCAGCTTCGTATTTTCGAAGACGCAAATATTTCAATTTACACCTACCGTTTCCACTATAGAAAACAATATTTTCTGCATGTACGTTATGATATATTTATCTTCTTTTTTTGTTTCGATTCTTTTTGTATTGCAAGGTGTGGTATCCTGTGACACCTGCAATGGGTAAGATATTTTTTGCTGGACCTGAGTGTATTAAAGAGGTAATTTTAGTTTACTAGATTTGGCATCCTGTTATAGCCTTTGATAGCCCAGATAAATCATTGTTCTTTGTTTGACAGATTCAATTAAAAAGTGAGAACAAGAACACAATCTCAAAGCTTTTCATGCAGAGCCATAATAAGAAGCAACCCATCTCTGAGCCGTCCATCAGAAAAGCGGCTGAGGATTCCACTCATGGTCATACTTTTGAAAACTCACAAGAGCCATCCAATACAAATGAAGACTGGGAACCCATCGATGATTTCAAAGTTTGCATTGGCATCAAAAGGGAGGCCTCTCCTGGAAATGCTGAGGAGACTGAGAAACGTCGAACTAAAAGAGACATTGAACAACTACTCGTTGATCCTAAAAAAGAAACAATAGTCGGCAAGGAAAACCCCATTTCCGGTGAGGAGCGTCAGGGTTATATGGATAGAGGTTCACACAAGAATGGAATGCCGAGGATCACTGGGGGCAAACAAGCAAACTTGTTTTCTTACTTTGGTAAGAGTTAATTGCTTTGTATATGACGGAATGGTAACTGGTTTGGGTGCTTCAATTTTGAGTTTTGGTCTTTTGGGTCATGCCTTGACCTGGCATTTTGAATGGCAAGGGAGAGAGACCTGGAACCATGTATTTTTATTGCTGCCTGGCGTTTCTTTGGAGTTTCCATGCCATGTTACATACACATGCAGTTATGTAAATATTAGTGCCTTCTTAGATTTATTTTGTAAAGCTTAATGTGGGGAGGTACTATCCTCTTGTGTGTCCTCTAGGCAGCTTTAACTGAACTCCCATAAGCTTGAAAGCCCATTCCTAAATAACTCTCGTAAAAGGGCATTGTAGAAACAAATGATCTCCACTCTCCTCATCATCCTTACCCGAAGTAAAATATTTACTAAAATTTTGCCCCTCGTCATTAAATTGTCAAGTGTAAGTGTCTTACCTTGCAGAAGTACCTAAATAAAAGCCTTAATCTTATGTGGAATGAACATTTTACATACAATGTTTTGCGAGAATGTTGTTTGTGTATCGATCATAGTAAAGAAGCTTACAAATATATCTTATTGAGAAAATGCCAACTTGTTCTCTCTCCCAAACCACTTCATCCTCAATATTACGAGCTTGAGATCTGATGACATCGACATCAATTGCTCAATGACCACATTTTATACCCTGTTTATATAGGCACAATCTTCCGATGACGACTAGAGTTATGAATAATCCAATTGTCTCCAACCTTAGCAAATGGATTTGAAGTTCTTGCAAACAGCTGTGGGAAGCAAGCTTTCGAAGCAATATTCCCCATCTATTTATTATGCCAAAAATTGATCTTGTCCCCTTTCCAACAGCGCATCTAACACTCCTAACAACAATGTTTCCAACTCGTTAGATACATTCCAGAAATTAGAAGCATTTGCTCTCCTCATACCTTTGTCACTCATAAAGAGTCGATGCTAGCCCCATTTTTTGCAACTACCTATTTCCGCAGCTGATCCTCACAATGAAACAACCCCCACCACCATTTTGCCACAAGAGATTTATTAACAAGCTTCAACCTCCTCCCCAAACCACCCTCCATTTTAGGAGCACAAATTTCCTCCAACTTGCAAGATGGTATTTATTTATGTAATTCATAGTCTCCAAATGAAGTCCCTCATCAATTTCTCTATCTTTTTGCAAAAAACTATCGGCATCGTAAACAAAGACATTTGATAAATTAGACAGATTAGTCAAAAGAAGATTTAACCAATGTAATTATTCCTCCCATCGAGAGAACTTTGGTCTTTTATAAATCAAGTTTCATATGAAATTTCTTCAATAGTATATTCCAAACTTTTCCACCCATCGAGAGAACTTTGGTCTTCTATAAATCAAGTTTCATATGAAATCTCTTCAATAGTATATTCCAAACTTATCTAGGCAATCCAGAATTAGAAACAAGCAACCTAAGATATGTAATGGGAAATCAATTCACCTTGCACCCAGCCACCAATGCAAGTGAATCCACTAGAGCAGCCACGCAATTGACTCCAATTAGAGAGGTTTTCTTTAGATTCACCTTAACGCCCAAAACAAATTCACAACATCTTACGAACTTAGTGAGGCAAGAAATTTGTTGAAAATTGGCATCACAGAAAACCAAAGAAGCCTTTTGGAGGGCCATAAATTCTACCCAAATATTCTACCTTGAGACCATTAAGCTAAAGGCCTTTGCAATCAAAGTAAACAAAAGAAGGCGACAAAGGATCTCCTTGTCTAATTCCTCCACTAGCTCCAAAAAAGCCTTTTGGAGGGCCATTAACCAGAACTAGAAAATGTGCACTAGAGAGACAGCCCCATATCCAACTTTTCCATTTGTCTCCCAAAATCCATATAATTCATTACCTCCATTAGATTCTACCATTCCACTATATCATATGCATTTTTCATGTCAAGCTTTAGCAACACTCCCCATTCACGATCTTTAACTCTCTAGTGCATACATTCTTGTGTAACAAACACACTATTAGTAATAATCATTTCTTTCACAAAAGTTGATCGTGGTCCCTTTAGTAGCAAAGGAAAAACCATGTTGAATTTCTGTGCTACCACCTGAGCAATAGTTTTATATAGATTGCTAAGCAAGCTGATCGATAGGACATCACCTATACCTGAGATCACATCCTTCTTAGGAATCAAGGATATTGTGGAGTTAATTCCTCTACCCACAACACCCCTATCCATTAATTTCTCTATTATGGCCTCCAACTCAAATGTAATCATATCTCAAAATTTACGAAAGAATGCTAGAGGGAGGCCTTAAGGAACAAGTGATTAACACCCCAACAATGGAAAAAACAACTGTCCTAAGTTCTTCCATAGCTACCTAGGCTTCGTAAGCTTCTTAAAAGGCACACCTCCATATAAACTGTGAACTTTTGATAGGTTGTAAAAATATTTTGAAAGTGCTTCACAAATTCATTCTTCCAGCCATAAAAAACTCTATGTTGAGATCAATCTCTTTCAGCAATTCCACTCAATCTCTGCTTCCAATATCTCTCCTCCATCTGTAACAGCTTGTGCAAAAAAGAATTTAACTCCCTTCTTACTCCTTCCTGCTCCAAACTAACAAAACCAAACTGCTGAACTTCTTGGTCAATTTAGTGTATCCTTTGTAAAGTATTATCAAGTTTCTTGGTCAATTTAGTGTATCCTTTGTAAAGTATTGTCAATTTAACTCCCAAGAGCGTTTTGCTAGCTCAACAACATCATTGTCTTCTAGCCACACCATATCCTTTCTAAAAGGCCTAGGCCCCCTAATATCATTTTATGCTAGTAAGATATGATTATGGTCAGAAGATAAGTTAATAAATGCAGCCACATTCACCAAAGGGAAGGCATTTACCCACTCTCCTGAGATAAGAAACCCATCCAATTGACTCATAATAAAATTCGCCACACTATTATTACTCTAAGCGTATCGGGTATCATTGATTAGGATGTCCATTGATCCATTATTCATAATAAAATTATTAAACAATCACATATTTGATTGATAGCGTTATGCATTCAACATTTCATATTCAAATTCACCACACTATTATTTCTCTAAGTACCCATTAAAACTTCTAAATGGATCCCATAAAAATTAAACCCACAAAAAGATCTTTCAAGATCACATCAATACAGCCCAAAGCAAAAGGATTCCAGCAACACCAAAGACCACATGAAGCCCCCAAAGAATCAAGCCTACAAAAACTAAATGAACACAAACACCAAACTTCCCTAACATCTAACAAAGATGGACCAAGCAACTTTGTTTCTTGAAGTGGACAAACATCTGATCTATACTATGCATTGAACATTCTTCTAGCCATCGAATGAGACTGAAGTCCACACCAAAGCAATAAGGTAAATTGTACCACCACTAGTAGAAACGAAACCATTCAAGAACTGTTCCTTTAAATTGGATGTATTTTGGTCCGTACACATTACAAAACACCCATTAAAACTTGTAAATGGACCCCAAAAAAATTAAACCCACAAAAAGATCTTTCAAGATCGTATCAATACAACCCAAAAACAAAGGATCCCAACAACATCAAAGACCACTCGAAGCCCCCACAAAAACAAGCCTACAAAAACCTAATGAACCCAAACCCCAAACCTACCGAACATCTAACAAAGATGGACCAGGTAACTTTGTTTCTTGAACTAGACAAACATCAGGTCTATACTTCTTAACCATCATTAACACTTCTTTTTTGCGGTGGACAACACCCAGTCCCCATACATTCCAACTTAGAGTCTTCATGACAAAAGGAAGTTGAGCCAGGTCTGGCAGGACATTCATCCCTGGTGGACATGGAGGTGCAACTACTTTATTAATTAAGCTCGAACTCCTTTTCACTGTCATCTTTAAGTAATAACAATTCCTCCACCCCACTTCTGTTACCCAATCTTGTAGCAGCAAACCTTGATGAGGATCTAGTGGGCTTTAGAGTCGCCTTTGTCTTCCCTTTGCCCTTATTCTTGGCCTTTAAATTTTCAGCCTCTTCCTCCACACCTCCCTCCTCCTTTTCCTCCTTGGATTTCTCAATTCTCTCCCTAAGAGCCTTAACAACGACTTCAGTACATTGAACGGACTCCAATGTCCTCAAAGTGTTCCCCATAATCCATCCGAACATCATTAACAAAACTACCTGGAGTGTCCTTTTGGATTGGATTACCCAGGAGAGAGCCTATGCGACCACTATCCAACAATAGCAATGGTAAAGACTCCCGATAATGAAGTTCCTTGGCCGGCAACATCGATAAAGGTGAAATAACCAGTGCATTCTGCAACAAATCTACCTCCTGCGAAATGGCCACCTTACCACATTCAATTGCAACCACTTCTTCTTAACCATCATTCACCTTCTGATCCATAACAACTATTGATTGACCCTGTTCTTCAAGAGGAGTTCTACCTACAGAATGTCCTAGTAACAACCTACAAACTACAATACAAAAAGGTAGAAGTCTTTCTAGAATCATAGGTGTAAAGAAAGAAGAAAGCACCGAGAATAAATTGATATAAGAAAGAAGCAGACACTCGTGGTAAGTAAAAGCTTTGTCTTCTTTGATATGAGGGAGAACACCTATATAGCATCCCTTGTCATTTCGCATCCCATCCACCACGTTCAGAGTGTCCAATCCCGTTTTTTGTAATTTTAATTTTCAAAAAGAGCCTCCATAACTTGCCTTTTCCCTGTGAAAGGAACAAAAAACAATTAGCCCCACACCTGAGAAATATTGGGAGAGTCAACAATAGAAGGTTGTTTTGAATTCAAATCACCTGAAAAAGTAGAATAGGAAGAATCTTCATTGACGTGATTTAAAACAGTTGCCAAATTTTTTTAAATTTGAAATGACCACGAGAAGAAGATAGCAAAGATGAGTTATTACCTATTCGTGGGGCAGATTTAATAGGCACAACACAAATGTTGGCTGAATTTGCAGGGGTCTCCTTCTATGATCGCATTCTCCCATCCCTGCTATGACCTTGGCTAACCCTAGCTTATAATCTCCCCTTCCCTCGAACTACATGCTACTCTTCACCTTTATGAGGGGCAGGAACAAACTGAATGTCTAGACTCTTCGTCCTTAAACCCTCCAAAGTGGCCTCGATAATAAAATCATCACACCCTATTTTAAGGCCACGTTTTTAGCTAGAGGTGAAATAAAAATCCTAAGCATCCTAACATGGACAAAACAACATTATGTGCAATTGATAGACTCCCAATCCACTTCCTTAAAATTGCCACAAAGACTTCCAAGACTTTGGAAAACCCCCAAGTTCAATGTATGGAATGGAATACCCCAAAATATGTTTTGTAAGTCATTTTTGACGTACTTCCATGAGCCCATGTAAATAAAGATAGAGCCGGCGACAGTATGGTCTCGCGGGTTCACAAAACACCTGTAGATCTAGATTGTGCCGAAAAATAAAGCCTCTAGCTCAGTGACCTGGGTGTGGTGCCCTTGCACCAAAGAAGGGCCCTTCACTGTAGCCCTATGATAGTGGCTGAAATAGGGCACCAGACTATCGCCATTGTGCTTAGAACTTCGAAATACCCCCGAGGACCAAATTTGGGCTCAATCGGACATCTCTAGAGGGGGTTTATGCTCATGCGGCCTCGCAACTCTTGGGTTTTACCATAGCGTGATGCGGCTTCACCAAACTAGTCCTGAAAATGGGGACTGCAACAACGTTTTCCGATAGTGACTTCTCCAACCCACGACGCCTTTCTCTGAAATCAGACGGAGCTCAAATGTTGACATGTTCTAGAATATGCCAGCCTTGTCATTTTGACATATGGCACTCACTGTGGAGTGACAAGGAACCCCCATTGCTATGAAGAGGAAAGCAACCGGTGAAACCAAGGAAAAAACAGGGTTCACCAAGCTTCGGATTCGGTGAAGCATAGCTCCATATCCAAGCCTTGGATTAACGCAAGGATGAGTTCAATAGAACCACCTCGCAAGGAGCTGCATTCTGGTATAAATCTTGCATTTAATTCGTGGTCCGATGAATGCAAGTCCTCAGGTTACCAAAGAAGCAAATCCAGTCGATTGTCGGAATCCCTTTCTCCGGCAACCTTCCAAATTAGGCAAAGACGCAAATTAGCACCAAATCAACCCTAACTTGGTGCAAAACGACTGCAACAATCTCCTCTCTGACTTGCAAGCATAGCCAGGAGCTAAAACGACGTAGCTCGAAGGCGCATTGGCAAACAAAGTTCGTAAAACTGGCCAGACTTTCACCCCGGGGAAAAAGGCAACCACAACACGATTAATGGGCATCAAAATGCTCACAATCTAGTGTAGAACAAAGATATATTGTTGAAATAGCTGAATAGTTGCCACAAGTTGCAGGACTAGCTTCCAAGGTCTTCCCATGGCGGAGCAACCTGCATGTAGGGACGGTCTCGTCATTCGGGCAAAAGATCACATGGACATTTGGTCATTTGCTTTTAATTTTTGGATTTGTTTTGAATTTCTTTAATTGTAATTAAGCTTGACTTTTGAGCATTCACCCCTATTTTGTGAATCCTCTATATAAGCAAGTTTAGTTCACTTGTAAAAAGGTCTAAAAGACCACTTTAAAGAAGCCCCTTTTTGCAAGCTTCAATACCCCTAAAGGCTGGGAAGAATCAAGGCTAGATTATTCTTACTTGATTGTCTTTCTTTGTGAGCCCCTAGTCTTTATAGGAGTGGAGAGAGGAAGAGAGAGAAAACTTTGAGAGAAGGAGGGTACCCCAGAGTGTAGGGTCCCACGGATACCCCAGACGCGCAGGTCACCCCCACCTCTCCTAAGCTGAGTCTTTTCTCCCCCCCTCCATTCTCTCTCTCTCTCTCTCTCTCTCTCTC